AACCCTGGACATAAATCATAGAATCAGAGAATCAGGGAGTTGGGAGAGACCTCATGGGCCATCCAGTCCAACCCCCTGCTAAGAAGCAGGAATATTGCATTCAAATCACCCCTGACAGATGACCATCCAGCCTCTATTATAGTTCTTAGCCCGAGGTGGCTATATTTCACAGCTTTCTTCAAACATAGGACAAAATACCTCTACAGATTTTGTTATTTTGACCCAATCTCTCTACAGAGTTACTGAAAGAATTAATTTTAAAATGGGACATTGAACCAGAAAGACAGGGCAGTTTGCCCTGGAGTTGCCAGATTTAAAAGGCAATGCCTTGCAAAGGGCCAAAAAGGTTTTTGCCTGATTTGAGAGCCATTGCCAGCAAAAAGGGTTAAACTGTTTATTTAGTTGAAAAAAGCAGGTTGAAGTTGGAAAAGCAAGTCAAAGATGGAATGAGCTGTTGTTTGCAGTAGATGGACAGAGGAACGTGAGATAAATCATGGAAAGAAAACCATAGAGAATTGTTTGAAAGGATGGAGATCGGTTGAGAAGACTTCGAAGTGAGAGATTGTGGAGGCCCGCCAATGGATGGAGTGAAAGCTATCGACGAAAACCGACGACAGATGGGTAATCAGTATCCCCCTTCCCCTTTTCTCTCACTATCTTTCTATTTATCTTTTCCAGCTCTTGAGCTCCTGGTAATGGGAGTCCAAAATACAAGAGCCTATCCAAAGCACCTTAGCTGGACCTTAGGGAAGGCTGAGCGAAGGAAGATTGATGCTTTTGAGCTGTGGTGTTGGAGGAAAGTGCTGAGAGTGCCTTGGACTGCAAGAAGATCCAACCAGTCCATCCTCCAGGAAATAAAGCCCAACTGCTCACTGGAGGGAAGGAGACGAGAGACAAAGTTGAAGTACTTTGGCCACATCATGAGGAGACAGGAAAGCCTAGAGAAGACAATTATGCTGGGGAAAGTGGAAGGCAAAAGGAAGAGGGGCCGACCAAGGGCAAGATGGATGGATGGCATCCTTGAAGTGACTGGACTGACCTTGAGGGAGCTGGGGGTGGTAACGGCCGACAGGGAGCTCTGGCGTGGGCTGGTCCATGAGGTCACGAAGAGTCGGAGACGACTGAACGAATGAACAACAACAACAACAACATCCAAAGCACCACCTGCTGGATAGGACAAGCAAAAGACAGAAGTGTTTACAACTGTGTTTTAAAAAGAGACAGAGATGATGTCATCACCAGCCCTGGGCCTACCTGATATGGGGAAACCCTTCATTCTGTTCGTATCGGAGCGAGAAGAAATAGCAGTAGGTGTACTCACCCAGGCTTTAGGGTCATGGCAAAGACCAGTGGCATGCTTGTCAAGGCAACTAGACACAGTAGCGCAGGGAATGCCACCATGCCTGCGGGCTGTGACAGCAGCAGTAGATTTAATAAAAGAAACAAACAAATTGACTTTAGGGCAGCCACTGGTCGTAAAGGTACCACACCATGTGAAGGCACTGTTAGACACCAAGGGACCACGCTGGCTCACAAACGAGAGACTGACTAAGTATGAGGGGGTGTTATGTGACAACCCGATGGTAACCCTAGAAACTTGCACCACCCTGAATCCGGCTACCTTGTTGCCTGCCCCGGGGGAGGAAATGGTCCACCAGTGCATTCAGGTGATGGAACAGGTATACTCCAGCCGACCCGATTTAAAAGACGTACCAATGTCCAACATAGACATGACCCTATTCACAGATGGCAGCAGCTTCGTGGAGAATGGTGAGAGGCGTGCAGGGTATGCGGTGGTGCAGGGGGGGGGGAGAGATTTTGGAAGCAGAGTCGCTCCCTCCGGGAACCTCCGCTCAGCGGGCCGAGTTGATAGCCCTCACCAGGGCACTGCAGTTGGCAAAAGGAAAGCGGGTCAATGTCTACACGGATTCAAAGTACGCTTTTACTACGCTTCATGCCCATGGAGCTTTGTACAAGGAGCGGGGACTCCTTACGTCAGCTGGAAAGGGCGTTAAGAATGCAGCTGAGATTGTGGCCCTTCTGGAGGCGGTTTGGAAACCGGATCGGGTTGCTGTAATGCATTGTAAGGGACACCAGAGGGGAGAAGATCCAGTTACGCAAGGAAATAGGTTAGCTGATTTGGCTGCAAGGGAGGCAGCAAAACACCCCCGCAATAAGCAGTGCCTGCTGACTGCAACTGCATTAGAGGGCCCCCCATTAGAAAAGTTTACATATACACAAGAGGAGGAGAATTGGGCCTTGGGGGAAAAAGGAAAATGGAAGGGAGAGGTCATCGTGATGCCAGATAACCGCGTCTACGTCCCTAAGGACATGGCGTGGCACATAGTCCGACACATGCATTACACTACACACCTGGGTAAGACGGCCCTGGCAACATTGTTGGGACGACAGATGTACATCGATGGGCTCCATAGCTTAACGGCAGCGGCTGCACGCAGGTGCTGGACCTGCGCCAAGAATAACCCTCGAGAAGGACCCTTAAAGTCCCCAGGAGTTCAACGTCTGACAAAGTGCTCATTAAGGAGTGAAAGATTGACCCGCTTGGACCAAAGTGGAGAGGACCCTATACTGTGCTGTTATCAACCCCTACCGCCATCAAAGTGAAGGAATTCAACCCTTAGATACACTACACCCATGCCAAGTTGGCGCCCCCTGTGTGGAAAGTAAAAAAAGCGGATCAGAGTGACCTGAGACTCAGGATCGTCCGGCAACCCCCTACGGGGTCAACAAGGCCATGAAGCTGACCCCATCGGGTACAACAGAACGTCGAATGTCAAGTATGTCACAGTGTGGCCCAACAAAAGCACTATCCTGGAAGTGGTGGAAAGACATTGTGATGGGAAGGGGAGGAAGAGACACCAGAGAACCAACAGGAGTTCGGACAGTTTTTTGGGTTCCTAATGCTTATAAATATGATCACTATGATACAGGGAAATTGGCTAAAAGAACATGCAAGACTTATGTTTGCCCAGCATGGTAAAGATGTGTCTCTTATATTAGGTTGTTTCATTTTTCTATTGCTAATATGCTGTTTTCCAATTATGCTCTAAGCCTGCCAAAAGTAAATAATGCAAGTAGGGCCAATAGAAAAGATAGGTCGCATCCAGAGAAAAAGTTGGAGGGACCCATAAAACCCTTTGCTGATTTGCTTTCACTTTTGTAAAATGCTTAGCAAAAAGAAAAAAAATGGGGAAATAAGGCAGCCTTATGATTGTGGAAATGAGAATATGGTGGGTGTGTTACCAAATAAGGAAAGGGGGTCCCGTGTGCAAAGGTTGAGTGTGGGTTCCGTGTGCAAAAAAGTTGAGTACAGAGTGCAACACCATGTGATTTCCTGGAAAGCACCTGATTTCAAGGAAATGAAACTTTCGTTTTTCCAAACTGTATATAAGGTATTTTCAGCCCACTAGAGGGGGTCCCTTCCTTAGAGACGCCTCCTTGCGTTTGGAGGAGACCCCATGCAGCTGCATTGAAATAAACTGCTTTCTTGGATGAATCATGTTGTCCGTCTTTTGATTCCTGCCTGCGCTCGCTCACCGGTTGCAAGCCAAGCTTTGGCTGAGGGCCCTATTGGGCAAAAAGGTCTGCTACAGTAGCATGTTCTTTGTTTGCTTGATTCTGAAAGCTATAAAAGGCAGTCAGCCCCTTGATCGGGTGCTCTGGTTTGCTTTGGGACGCAAGTCCACTCCAGGGCCCCAGCTGGTAATAAAAGCTGTGCTTTTCAGATCTCAGGATCTCTCTTTGTCTCTCCTTTCCTGAAACCTTTTCCCTGCCATTTCAGTATCTGGCCACTTGGAGTGCTTCTGGTGTTGCCGCAAGGAGGTCCTCCATTGTACATCATGTGGCAGGGCTCAGGTTGCATTGCAGCAGGTGGTCAGTGGTTTGCTCCTCTCCGCACTCGCATGTCGTGGATCCCACTTTGTGGCCCCATTTCTTAAGGTTGGCTCTGCATCTCGTGGTGCCCGAGCGCAGTCTGTCCAGCGCCTTCCAAGTTGGTGGTTTTCCAAGCAGAGCACAGCAAAAAAGCAAAGCAAAGAGCAATGCAGAAAGCAATGCAAAAAGCAAAGAGCAAAGCAAAAAACAATGCAAAAAGCAGATCAATAAGCAATGCAAAAAATAAAGAACAATGCAGAAAGCAATGCAAAACATAAAGACCAAAGCAAAAAAGCAATACAAAAATCAGAGCAAAGAGCAATGCAGGTAGTAAAGAACGAAGTAAAAGGCAAAGCAAAGAGCAATGCAGAAAGCAATGCAAAAAGTAAAGAGCAAAGCAGAAAACAGAGCAAAGAGCAATGCAGAAAGTAAAGAACAATGCAAAGAACAATGCAGAAAGCAATGCAGAAAGTAAAGAGCAAAGCAGAAAACAGAGCAAAGAGCAATGCAGAAAGTAAAGAACAATGCAAAGAACAATGCAGAAAGCAATGCAAAAAGTAAAGAGCAAAGCAAAAAACAATGCAAAAAACAGAGCAAAGAGCAATGCAGAAAGCAATGCAGAAAGTAAATTGCAAAGCAAAAAAGCAATGCAAAAAACAGAATCAAGCAAACAAAAAGCAGAGCAAAGAGCAATGCAGAAAGCAATGCAAAAAGTAAAGAGCAAAGCAAAAAAACAATGCAAAAAGCAGAGCAAAGAGCAATGCATAAAGTAAAGAATAATGCAAAGAGCAATGCAGAAAGCAATGCAAAAAGTAAAGAGCAAAGCAAAAAAACAATGCAAAAAGCAGAGCAAAGAGCAATGCATAAAGTAAAGAATAATGCAAAGAGCAATGCAGAAAGCAATGCAAAACGTAAAAACCAAAGCAAAAAAGCAATAGAAAAATCAGAGCAAAGAGCAATGCAGGTAGTAAAGAAGGAAGTAAAAGGCAAAGCAAAGAGCAAAGGGAGGAGCCAAGGCCTCCCTCCCTCCTTGCAGGTGTTTTGGACTTCATCTCCCACAATTCCCAACAGCTTACAGGGTTAACGTCACTTCCGGAACACCTTTGTTGGAGGCGGGGCAGAGAAGAGAAAGAGAGAGAGGGGAGAAGAAAGAAAGGAAAGAAGGAAAGAAGGTAAGGAAAGGAAGGGGTAACGTCCATCCTGCTCTTTCTCCTTCCTTCGTTCCTTCTTCTCCGGGGATCCTTTTGGGAAGGCAGCTAGGGCTGCGAGGTCATCTGTCGGGAGTGCTTTGATGGTGCTTTTCCTGCATGAAGGCAGCAAGAAGGGGATTGGGCTACGTGGCCTTTAGGGGGCCCCTCCAACTGTATTATTATTGAGGCTGGGTGGCCATCTGTCAGGTGTGCTTTGATGGTGCTCTTCCAGCATGAAGGCAGCAAGAAGGGGGTTGGACCAGATGGCCTTTAGGGGCCCCCTCCAACTGTATTATTATTGAGGCTGGGTGGCCATCTGTCAGGTGTGCTTTGGTGGTGCGCTTCCAGCATGAAGGCAGCAAGAAGGGGGTTGGACCAGATGGCCTTTAGGGACCCCTCCAACTCTAGTATTAATATTAATATTAATATTAATATTGAGGCTGGGTGATCATCTGTCAGGTGTGCTTTGGTGGTGCGCTTCCAGCATGAAGGCAGCAAGAAGGGGGTTGGACCAGATGGCCTTTAGGGACCCCTCCAACTCTAGTATTAATATTAATATTAATATTAATATTGAGACTGGGTGATCATCTGTCAGGTGTGCTTTGATGGTGCTCTTCCAGCATGAAGGCAGCAAGAAGGGGGTTGGACCAGATGGCCTTTAGGGGCCCCCTCCAACTGTATTATTATTGAGGCTGGGTGGCCATCTGTCAGGTGTGCTTTGATGGTGCTCTTCCAGCATGAAGGCAGCAAGAAGGGGGTTGGACCAGATGGCCTTTAGGGGCCCCCTCCAACTGTATTATTATTGAGGCTGGGTGGCCATCTGTCAGGTGTGCTTTGATGGTGCTCTTCCAGCATGAAGGCAGCAAGAAGGGGGTTGGACCAGATGGCCTTTAGGGGCCCCCTCCAACTGTATTATTATTGAGGCTGGGTGGCCATCTGTCAGGTGTGCTTTGATGGTGCTCTTCCAGCATGAAGGCAGCAAGAAGGGGGTTGGACCAGATGGCCTTTAGGGACCCCTCCAACTCTAGTATTAATATTAATATTAATATTAATATTGAGGCTGGGTGATCATCTGTCAGGTGTGCTTTGGTGGTGCGCTTCCAGCATGAAGGCAGCAAGAAGGGGGTTGGACCAGATGGCCTTTAGGGACCCCTCCAACTCTAGTATTAATATTAATATTAATATTAATATTGAGACTGGGTGATCATCTGTCAGGTGTGCTTTGATGGTGCTCTTCCAGCATGAAGGCAGCAAGAAGGGGGTTGGACCAGATGGCCTTTAGGGACCCCTCCAACTGTATTATTATTGAGGCTGGGTGGCCATCTGTCAGGTGTGCTTTGATGGTGCTCTTCCAGCATGAAGGCAGCAAGAAGGGGGTTGGACCAGATGGCCTTTAGGGGCCCCCTCCAACTGTATTATTATTGAGGCTGGGTGGCCATCTGTCAGGTGTGCTTTGATGGTGCTCTTCCAGCATGAAGGCAGCAAGAAGGGGGTTGGACCAGATGGCCTTTAGGGGCCCCCTCCAACTGTATTATTATTGAGGCTGGGTGGCCATCTGTCAGGTGTGCTTTGGTGGTGCGCTTCCAGCATGAAGGCAGCAAGAAGGGGGTTGGACCAGATGGCCTTTAGGGACCCCTCCAACTCTAGTATTAATATTAATATTAATATTAATATTGAGGCTGGGTGATCATCTGTCGGGGATGCTTATGTTAATCCCACAAACGAATATTACATTTTTGGGTTGTTGTAGGTTTTTTTGGGGGCGATATGGCCATGTTCTAGAGGCATTTTCTCCTGACGTTTCGCCTGCATCTATGGCAAGCATCCTCAGAGGTAGTGAGGTCTGTTGGGACTAGGAAAATGGGTTTATATATCTGTGGAATGACCAGGGTGGGACAAAGGACTCTTGTCTGCTGGGGCTAGGTGTGAATATTTCAACTGACCACCTTGATTAGCATTTAATGGCTTGGAAGTGCCTGGGGGAATCTTTTGTTGAGAGGTGATTAGATGTGCCTGGTTGTTTCCTCTCTGTTGTTGTGCTGTTCTAATTTTGGAGTTTTTTAATACTGGTAGCCAGATTGTGTTCGTTTTCATGGTTTCCTCCTTTCTGTTGAAATTGTCCACATGCTTCTTGTGGGTTTCAATGGCTTCTCTGTGTAGCCTGACATGGTGGTTGTTGGTGTGGTCCAGCATTTCTGTGTTCTCCAATAATAGGCTGTGTCCAGGCTGGTTCCTCAGGTGCTCTGCTATGGCTGATTTCTCTGGTTGAAGGAGTCTGCAGTGCCTTTCATGTTCCTTGATGTGTGTCTGGGCAATGCTGCGTTTGGTGGTCCCTATGTAGACTTCTTGTCCACAGCCTCATGGTACATGGTAGACTCCTGCAGAGGTGAGAGGATCCCTCTTGTCCTTGGCTGAACGTAGCATTGGTTGGATTTTCTTGGTGGGTCTGGAGATAGTTTGTATGTTGGATTTCTTCCTCAGCTTCCCTCTGCGGTCAGTGGTTCCCTTGATGTATGGCAGGAACACTTTTCCTTTGGGTGGATCTTCGTCTTTACTCTCGTGGCTTCTTCTCGGTGGTCTTGCAGCTCTCCTGATGTCTGAGGTGGAGTCTCCCTTGGCCTGGAGAGCCCAGTTGAGGTGGTTCAGTCCACCTTGGAGGAGGTGAGCTTCGCAGATTCTTTTTGCACGGTCTGCCAAGGCTTTAATGGTGCTTCTTTTTTGACTTGGGTGATGGTGGGAGTTTTGATGTAGATCTCTATCTGTGTGTGTGGGTTTTCTGTAGATGGTGTGACCCAACTGTTGATCTGCTTTGTGGATGACTAGGACATCTAGAAAAGGCAGTCTTCCTTCCTTTTCTTTTTCCATGGTGAATTGGATGTTTGGGTGGATGCTGTTGAGATGGTCCAGGAACCTGTTGAGTTCTTCTCCTCCATGGCTCCAAATAGTGAAGGTGTCATCCACATCTCTGAACCATATGTTTGGGTGGATGTTGTTCAGATGGTCCAGGAACCTGTTGAGTTCTTCTCCTCCATGGCTCCAAATGGTGAAGGTGACATCCACATATCTGAACCATATGTTTGGGTGGATGCTGTTCAGATGGTCCAGGAACCTGTTGAGTTCTTCTCCTCCATGGCTCCAAATGGTGAAGGTGTCATCCACATATCTGAACCATATGTTTGGGTGGATGCTGTTAAGATGGTCCAGGAACCTGTTGAGTTCTTCTTCTCCATGGCTCCAAATGGTGAAGGTGTCATCCACATATCTGAACCATATGTTTGGGTGGATGCTGTTAAGATGGTCCAGGAACCTGTTGAGTTCTTCTTCTCCATGGCTCCAAATGGTGAAGGTGTCATCCACATCTCTGACCATATGTTTGGGTGGATGCTGTTGAGATGGTCCAGGAACCTGTTGAGTTCTTCTTCTCCATGGCTCCAAATGGTGAAGGTGTCATCCACATCTCTGAACCATATGTTTGGGTGGATGCTGTTGAGATGGTCCAGGAACCTGTTGAGTTCTTCTTCTCCATGGCTCCAAAGGGTGAAGGTGTCATCCACATCTCTGAACCATATGTTTGGGTGGATGCTGTTGAGATGGTCCAGGAACCTGTTGAGTTCTTCTTCTCCATGGCTCCAAAGGGTGAAAGTGTCATCCACATCTCTGAACCATATGTTTGGGTGGATGCTGTTGAGATGGTCCAGGAACCTGTTGAGTTCTTCTTCTCCATGGCTCCAAATGATGATGGTGTCATCCACATATCTGAACCATATGTTTGGGTGGATGCTGTTCAGATGGTCCAGGAACCTGTTGAGTTCTTCTTCTCCATGGCTCCAAATGGTGATGGTGTCATCCACATATCTGAACCATATGTTTGGGTGGATGCTGTTCAGGTGGTCCAGGAACCTGTTGAGTTCTTCTCCATGGCTCCAAATGGTGAAGGTGTCATCCACATATCTGAACCATATGTTTGGGTGGATGCTGTTGAGATGGTCCAGGAACCTGTTGAGTTCTTCTCCTCCATGGCTCCAAATGGTGAAGGTGTCATCCACATATCTGAACCATATGTTTGGGTGGATGCTGTTCAGATGGTCCAGGAACCTGTTGAGTTCTTCTCCTCCATGGCTCCAAATGATGATGGTGTCATCCACATATCTGAACCATATGTTTGGGTGGATGCTGTTCAGATGGTCCAGGAACCTGTTGAGTTCTTCTTCTCCATGGCTCCAAATGGTGATGGTGTCATCCACATATATGATGTTTGGGAGGATGCTGTTGAGGTGGTCCAGGAACTTGTTAAGTTCTTCTCCTCCATGACTCCAAATGGTGATGGTGTCATCCACATATCTGATATTTGGGTGGATGCTGTTCAGATGGTCCAGGAACCTGCTGAGTTCTTCTCCTCCATGTCTCCAAATGGTGAAGGTGTCATCCACATCTCTGAACCATATGTTTGGGTGGATGCTGTTCAGATGGTCCAGGAACCTGCTGAGTTCTTCTCCTCCATGGCTCCAAATGATGATGGTGTCATCCACATATCTGAACCATATGTTTGGGTGGATGCTGTTCAGATGGTCCAGGAACCTGTTGAGTTCTTCTTCTCCATGGCTCCAAATGGTGAAGGTGTCATCCACATATCTGAACCATATGTTTGGGTGGATGCTGTTCAGATGGTCCAGGAACCTGTTGAGTTCTTCTCCATGGCTCCAAATGGTGAAGGTGTCATCCACATATCTGAACCATATGTTTGGGTGGATGCTGTTCAGATGGTCCAGGAACCTGCTGAGTTCTTCTCCTCCATGGCTCCAAATGGTGAAGGTGTCATCCACATATCTGAACCATATGTTTGGGTGGATGCTGTTGAGATGGTCCAGGAACCTGTTGAGTTCTTCTTCTCCATGGCTCCAAATGGTGAAGGTGTCATCCACATATCTGAACCATATGTTTGGGTGGATGCTGTTAAGATGGTCCAGGAACCTGTTGAGTTCTTCTTCTCCATGGCTCCAAATGGTGAAGGTGTCATCCACATATCTGAACCATATGTTTGGGTGGATGCTGTTCAGATGGTCCAGGAACCTGCTGAGTTCTTCTCCTCCATGGCTCCAAATGATGATGGTGTCATCCACATATCTGAACCATATGTTTGGGTGGATGCTGTTGAGATGGTCCAGGAACCTGTTGAGTTCTTCTTCTCCATGGCTCCAAATGGTGAAAGTGTCATCCACATATCTGAACCATATGTTTGGGTGGATGCTGTTGAGATGGTCCAGGAACCTGTTGAGTTCTTCTTCTCCATGGCTCCAAATGGTGAAGGTGTCATCCACATATCTGAACCATATGTTTGGGTGGATGCTGTTCAGATGGTCCAGGAACCTGTTGAGTTCTTCTTCTCCATGGCTCCAAATGGTGATGGTGTCATCCACATATCTGAACCATATGTTTGGGTGGATGCTGTTAAGATGGTCCAGGAACCTGTTGAGTTCTTCTTCTCCATAGCTCCAAATAGTGAAGGTGTCATCCACATATCTGAACCATATAGTGGGCTTTTTGGTTGCTGTCTCCAGGGCTTGTTTTTCAAAGTGTTCCATGTAGAAGTTAGCTATGACCGGGCTGAGAGGGCTCCCCATAGCTACTCCATCTTTCTGTTCGTAGAACAAAATTATTATTATTATTATTATTATTATTATTATTATTATTATTATTTCTTGACCAGGGAAATGAGCATCCAGTGAAGCCACATCTGCCGTGGTGAGAAAGAAACCGGAATCGAGTGGCTATTGAGGAATTTGGAAACCAAGAGTGCAGTCAGAGAACCAATGGTGAAGGAAGAAGAAATCCTCTCAATGTGCTGATCTTGCAGAACTCTTGGCCTCATTCACAGATCCAAAGGGGAAAAAGAAGAGTCAAGTGTCTGTCGTTCGGTAAAAAATAAATGCCACTCTCAAGATGGGGAAGAAACTCTATAAATGTTCTGAATGTGGGAAGAGCTTTCAATACACGCGCCTTCTGCAGCAACATGAAGTAATTCACACTGGGGAGAAACCCTACACGTGCTTGGAATGCGGAAAGAGCTTTGCGCTGAGAGAACATCTGCGCAAACATCGGAAAACTCACACTGGGGAGAGACCCTATACATGTTTAGAGTGTGGAAAGAGCTTCCGTGAGAGTGGAAATCGAAATAGACATCAAAGGAGTCACACTGGGGAGAAACCCTATACATGCCTGGAGTGTGGGAAGAGCTTCACTGACAGTGGAAATCTAAATAGACATCAAAGAAGTCACACTGGGGAGAAACCCCATACATGCCTGGAGTGTGGAAAGAGCTTTGCGTACAGTGGAAATCTGCGTACACATCAGAGAACTCACACTAGGGAGAGACCCCATACATGTTTGGAGTGTGGAAAGAGCTTCCGTGAGAGTGGAAGTCTACATAGACATCAGTGGACTCACACTGGGGAGAAACCCTATCCATGCGGAGAGTGTGGAAAGAGCTTCACTGCGAGTGGGCGCCTGCATTTACATCAACGGACTCACACTGGAGAAAAACCCCATATATGTGTGGAGTGTGGAAAGAGCTTCACTGAAAGTGGGAATCTATGTCAACATCAAAGGACTCACACTGGGGAGAAACCCTATAAGTGCCTGGAGTGTGGGAAGAGCTTTGCGCTGAGTTCACATCTATATAAACATCAAAGGACTCACACTGGAGAGAAACCCTTTCAGTGCACGGAGTGTGGACAGGCCTTTGCGCATAGTGGAAGTCTGCGTTCCCATCAAAGGACCCACACTGGGGAGAAGCCCTATCCATGCCTGGAGTGTGGGAAGAGTTTTGCGCTGATTTCACATCTACGTAGACATCAAAGGACTCACCTTGGGGAGAAACCATAAACAGGTCGTCCTGGGTTGGAAACAGGTGTGGCACCTCAGAATAAGCTTCACCTTGCTCTCAAACGCCACCAGATCACGGCTGTAGGATTTATAGTTTATTGTAAAGTTTCCAAAAGAAGGCAAAGGTTAAGTCAATACAAAGTTCCAAAGTTCAGGTAAAATGCATGGTACAGTTCCAGAAATCCTTCAGAGACAATCAAAGTAAACAGGAATCATGAAGCAAGAAGCAGCTTAGCCCAAAAGCCGCACGAAGGAATCCAATGCAGAGGCATGAAACAGCTTAGCAGATAGCCACGTTGAAACTGACAGCTAAGAATTGCCCGAGGAAGCCCTAAATACATTTTGCACATCAAAACAATCTAGTTTCCCACAATCTGCTTTCCCACTGCTCCCTTGACCTGTCGCTGACCTAACTTGGCTGCGATCCGAGAGCTCCGTCTCACGGTTTCGTTATCCCTTTGAAGGAGCACCTGGCCTTCCTCCTTATCAGCTGCATTCCTGTCCTGTGAGAACTGCTTCTCCAGCTCGACTGCAGGCTGAGAAAACTGAAAACCATCAGACTCAGGGGCCTGGTGAACCACAACACTAGGATCCATTCTGTAGGTTTGCTCTTAAGTTCAATTTGTATATAAGTCAGAACAGATACACTTCAAAGTATAATCCTAGACATGTTTAAAGTGTGGATAGTATATACTGAAGTGTTATCACCCCTGCGGCATTCCCTTTGTTGCCTGTGCTCCTGTTCAGAAGATTCCCCCTCACTTTGTGTCCCTGTGAGAATTGGATTTTGACCCAAGAGGTGGGAGGATGTGCAGGAAATGGCTTGGGAACACAAGGGAGCCAAAAAGAGGAACCAAAGAGTGTTTGAGAACAGAATAGAGACACAGGCAAGAAGCTGAGAAAGGGGAAATTACAGGCAGAAGGGGGAAAGAAGGTTTGATGTCATGACCTATAAAACCCTAGACGGCTCTGGTCCAGCGTACCTGTCCGAACGTATCTCCTTCTCTGTCCCACCTCAGACTTAAGATCGTCTGGGGAGGCCCTGCTCTCGGCCCCGCCTTTGTCTCAAACACACTTGGCGGGGACGAGGGACAGGGCCTTCTCGGTGGTGGCCCCCCGCCTGTGGAATTTGCTCCCTGGGGAAATTAGGTCATCGTCATCCCTCCTCACCTTTAGAAAAAAGGTTAAAACGTGGTTCTGGGACCAGGCCTTCGGGCAATCAGGTTAAAGGACAATTGATAATGTTTGACTATGGCTCGGAAGAGGATTTGGATAAGTTAAATGGAGTAATCATTAGTATATGGCTAGCTAAATAGCCACCAGACTGGCAATAGCTAAATAGATCGTTAAGTATACTGTTTTAATCTTTATTTATTAATGTCATTGTTTTAATTGTTATATTTGCTATTTTGTATTTTATGATGCGGCATTGAATTATTGCCAATTGGAAGCCGCGCTGAGTCTCCCTAGGGGTTGAGAAGGGTGGGGTAAAAATGTTACAAATAAATAAATAAATAAATGGGCGTGTTCACCTCAATTGAGACTACAAAACCCATGATCCAGAGACAGTCAAACATGGCACTCGCTTGACTTGATTGTAAACACACCTTAGTTACTCTGTAGACTTAAAGTATTGTAATCTCCTCAATTCCTCGTCTGAATTGGAAAGTGAAAAGGACCAGGCATGTCAGGGGCACAGAGCACCAACACCTGGGAGTCCTGCTTGGTGCAATGACTGTGGGTGGGTGAGTGAGTGGGTGGTGTCATGTTGCCAGGGCTAAAAAAGTAGCTGCAGAGTAATTCTGTGTCATGTTGCCAGGGCTCTACCTTATTTAGGTAGAGATGAATCAAACTCCCAGTTTTATCAAACAGTTTAATTAAAACAGCACTTACTTGCTGGCTGTTTTTATAGTCCAAAATATAAAACACAAAGATAGCACACAGCTACAGAATAAACAAAAACTGATAGCAAAAATAACTTCGTAGTCAAAAGGGTCCAGTCCAATGGTCAAATGCCGAGAGTTCAATAAACAAAGTCCAGGGATCAAGAGTCTATACCGTAGTCAAAAGCCAGTCCAAAGGTTCAAGGTTCCAAGATTACAGGAGACAGGTCAGGATACCGAAAAAGCCAACAGATCTGGGGGAAAAACCAGCAGCATCCACCACCAAAATGCAACAGATACTTTTCTCCCAAAGATCAGTCTCAAGGTTAGCTCCTTAAATCCTGGAGACCCAGGTTGCGGCGGTGGCAGCCAGGGGACCCTTCACACAATTGTGCTCCAGCTGCGCCCATACCTGGAGAAGTCTGATCTGGCCACGGTGGTCTAGGCCCTTGTCACATCCAGACTGGACTACTGTAATGCGGTCTATGTAGTGCTGCCCTTGAAGGCTGCCCGGAAGTTTCAGCTGGTGCAAAGGTCTGCAACTAGGCTGCTCACTGGTGCCATACAGGAAGCGATGAGCCCCTCTCTTGCGCCAGCTCCACTGCCTACCAGTGTGCTTCCGGGCGCAATTCAATGTGCTAGTTGTAACCTTCAAAGCCCGGAAGAGTTCAGGTCCAACCTGTCTACCCAACTTCATCTTCCAGTACGAGCCTGCCCGAACCCTGCGATTGGCTCGGGAGGCTCTACTCTCGGTCCCACCCCCGTCTTGGGTGCGGCTGGTGGGAACGAGGGAGAGGGCCTTCTCGACGGTGGCCCCTTGGCTCTGGAACTCCCAGTGATTGGCTGGGGAGTCCCTACTCTCGGTCCCACCCCCGTCTCGGGTGTGGCTGGTGGGAACGAGGGAGAGGGCCTTCTCGACAGTGGCCCCTTGGCTCTGGAACTCCCTGCGATTGGCTGGGGAGGCCCTACTCTCGATCCCATCCCTTTCTCGGGTGCGGCTGGTGGGAACGAGGGAGAGGGCCTTCTCGACAGTGGCCCCTTGCTGTGTCCAGGCTGGTTCATCAGGTGCTCTGCTATGGCTGACTTCTACATAGGGACCACCAAACGCAGCGCCCAGACACGCATCAAGGAACATGAAAGGCACTGCAGACTACTTCAACCAGAGAAGTCAGCCATAGCAGAGCACCTGATGAACCAGCCTGGACACAGCATAGTATTTGAGAACACAGAAATGCTGGACCACACCAACAACCACCATGTCAGACTACACAGAGAAGCCATTGAAATCCACAAGCATGTGGACAATTTCAACAGAAAGGAAGAGACCATGAAAATGAACAAAATCTGGCTACCAGTATTAAAAAACTCTAAAATTATAACAGCTAAACAGAGAGGAAAAAACCAGGCACAGATTAACACCTCCCAGCAACAGATTTTCCCAGGCTCAGGCAGGCCTTCAAATGCTAATGAAGGTGATCAGCTAAACATTCACACCTAACTGCAGCAGGGAAGAGCTCCTTGCCCCGCCCCAGCCATTCCACAGATATATAAACCCATTTTTCCTACTTCCAACAGACCTCACCAACCTCTGAGGATGCTTGCCATAGATGCAGGCGAAACGTCAGGAGAAATGCCTCTAGAACATGGCTCTATAGCCCGAAAAAACCCACAAGAACCTAGTGATTCCAGCCATGAAAGCCTTCGACAATACGATGTATTTCTTATTTTTTCTGTTTTAAAAGGCAATTTTGTCAATCAGCTAAAAATATAATACATTGTGTATGTATGTATGCATGTATGTATGTATATGTGTGTGTGTGTGTGTATGTGTGTGTGTGTGTGTGTGTGTGTGTGTATATATATATATATATATATATATATATATATATATATTGTAAGCAGCTCTGAGTCCCCTTCGGGGTGAGAAGGGCAATATATATAAAATACTAAATATATATAAGAATAATATATTATAGTTATATATTTTATATTACATGTAATGTTACTAATAATATTACAATATCATAGTATAATACAATATAGTAATATATATTGCTGATGTACTATGCTAATAATATATATATATATATATATATATATATATATATATATATATATATTGTAAGCTGCTCTGTGTCCCCTTTGGTGTGAGAAGGGTGATATATATAATACTACTATTAATAATAATATATAATATATTATAATTATATATTTTATATTACATGTTACATGACTAATAATGTTACAATACTCATAGACCAAAAAGGCACAATGTATTGTTGAAGGCTTTCATGGCCGGAATCACTGGGTTGTTGTAGGTTTTTTCGGGCTATATGGCCATGTTCTAGAGGCATTCGCTCCTGACGTTTCGCCTGCATCTATGGCAAGCATCCTCAGAGGTAGTGAGGTCTGTTGGAACTAGGCAACAACAAAAGATTGCTCCAGGCACTGCCAGGCTATCAAATGCTAATGAAGGTGATCAGTTGAAACATTCCCACCTAGCTCCAGCAGACAAGAGTCCTTTGTCCCACCCTGGTCATTCCACAGATATATAAACCCTTTTTCCAAGTTCCAACAGACCTGACTACCTCTGAGGATGCTTGCTATAGATGCAGGCGAAACGTCAGGAGAGAATGCCTCTAGAACATGGCCATAGAGCCCAAAAAACCTACAACAACCTAGTGATTCCAGCCATGAAAGCCTTCGACAATACAATGTACTGTTCGTTTGTGGGATTAACATAACTCAAAATCCACTGGACGAATTGACACCAAATTTGGACACAATACACCTACCAGGCCAACAAGTGACCATCACTCATAACAACGTTGAAAAGCACAGCAGAAGAGTCTTGAAAAGCAAAAAATAAAATAAAATAATACATTACACTGCATGCACAAGACCACATATTTTCATATATACACACACAAAACACATATACACAGATTGGGCCACAGCATTTGATGGCCTGACAGTGCCTGGCGCAATCTTTTATTGAGAGGTGATTAGATGTCCTTGTTCAAATTACAACAGCACAACAACAGAGAGGATACAATCAAAGACATCTAATCACCTCTCAACAAAAGTTTGCTCTAGGCACTGTCAGGCCATCAAATGCTAATCAAGGTGGTCAGTTGAAACATTCACACCTAGCTCCAGCAGACAAGAGTCCTTTGTCCCACCCTGGTCATTCCACAGATATATAAACCCTTCTTCCTAGTTCCAACAGACCTCACTACCTCTGAGGATGCTTGCCATAGATGCAGGCGAAACGTCAGGAGAGAATGCCTCTAGAACATGGCCATATAGCCCGAAAAAACCTACAAACAAGGACATCTAATCACCTCTCAACAAAAGATTGCTCCAGGCACTGCCAGGCTATCAAATGCTAATCAAGGTGGTCAGTTGAAACATTCACACCTAGCTCCAGCAGGCAAGAGTCCTTTGTCCCACCCTGGTCATTCCACAGATATATAAACCCTTTTTCCTAGTTCCAACAGACCTCACTACCTCTGAGGATGCTTGCCATAGATGCAGGCGAAACGTCAGGAGAGAATGCCTCTAGAACATGGCCATATAGCCCGAAAAACCTACAACAAGACATCTAATACCATTCAACAAGAAATTGCAATGCACTGCCCGGTCCATCCAATGCTAGAGGGGCTCAGGGTGTGGGTTTTCCCCACCCCAATGCACAAGTTGAAACATTCCCACCTAGCTCCAGCAGACAAGAGTCCTTTGTCCCACCCTGGTCCTTCCACAGATATATAAACCCACTTTCCTAGTTCCAACAGACCTCACTACCTCTGAGGATGCTTGCCATAGATGCAGGCGAAACGTCAGGAGAGAATGCCTCTAGAACATGGCCATATAGCCCGAAAAAACCTACAACAAGGACATCTAATCACCTCTAAACAAAAGATTGCTCCAGGCACTGCCAGGCCATCAAATGCTAATCAAGGTGGTCAGTTGAAACATTCACACCTAGCTCCAGCAGACAAGAGTCCTTTGTCCCACCCTGGTCATTCCACAGATATATAAACCCATTTTCCTAGTTCCATCAGACCTCACTACCTCTGAGGATGCTTGCCATAGATGCAGGCGAAACGTCAGGAGAGAATGCCTCTAGAAC